GTTGGTCTGACAGGACCTGCCGCTGATGAACCCATGCTGGTTGCCCCTGAGCATGCCGTTCCCTGCTGGCCCCTCCTGGATGCGTGCCAGAATAATTTTCTCAAACAGCTTGCCCAGGATTGAGGTAAGGCTGACTGGCCTGTAGTTCCCCGGGTCCTCTTTCCTCCCCTTTTTGAAGATGGGAACCACATTGGCCCTCTTCCAGTCCTCTGGCACCTCTCCAGAGCACCACGTGTATTCATAAAGCCGCGCCAGGGGACTTGCAATGACCCCAGCCAGTTCCTTTAGGACTCTAGGGTGAAGATCATCTGGGCCAGCTGACTTAAAAACGTCCAGCCCCTCCAGAAGCTCCCTAACTAAATCCTCACTCACTCTCATTGGTCCACAGACTTCTTGAGTCAGATAGAGCTCATCCACGCACATGAGGAAGCTTTGCAACCATTCGGATTTAGCCGAGTGCTCTTCCCACGAGATGTCTGGGTAGTTGAAGTCTCCCATGACAACCATCCACCAGGAGTGTGCAGCCTCAGCCAGTTCCCTGGAGAATTCCTGGTTGAGCTCTTGATCCTGGCTAGGAGGTCTATAGTAGACTCCCACCATTGTGTCCCCTGTGCCTTGTTCACCACAGATTTTAACCCAGAGAGTCTCCAGTCGTCCACCCTGCCAACGTCAGCTTGCAGGCATGCGGAGCTTTCCTTGACATAGAGAACTACACCCCTACCCCTTTGGTCCACATGATCTCTCCTGTATGAGGTATAGATATCTATACATGTTGCCCAGTCATAGGTGGAGTCCCACCAGGTCTCTGTTATCCTTATGAGATCGTAGTCATTCTTGTTTAGCAGAAGTACCAGTTCTTCCTGTTTATTCCCCAAGCTCCTGGCATTGGTGTACAGGCACGTAAGTGTCCCATTGGGGGCCCTTGCCTTCCCTACACATCATTCCGGGGCTGGGACAGAGGTGGGTTCCCTTAAGTGCCTTAGCCTGCTGGATTTGCAAAAGTTGCCTAGTGGGCTTGCAGTGGCGGTAGTCTCCCCATCCCCCGGTGGGCTTAGTTTAAAGCCCGGTAGAGCAGGTCAGCCAGTCTGGCTGAGAAAAGCCTCCTCCCCAGCACAGTGAGGTGGAGGCCATCTCTTCCCAACAGACCACTGCCTCTCCCACCAAAGAGCAGACTGTGATCATGGGAGCCAAAGCCTTCACAATGACACCAGCGCCACAGTCTTTGGTTGACTACCTCGATCCTCCTCTCCCTCCTCAGCCCATAGCCCAAACCCAGGAGGATTGAGGAAAATACCACCTGTGCCCCCAACCCCTTAAGCCCCTCTTCCAAAGCCCTGTAGCATCTCATGACCTGGCTGGGATTGCTTCAAGCCATGTCATTTGTGCCCATATGGATAAGAAGCATAGGGTAGTGGTCAGTGGGCCAGATGAGTTTAGGGATTCTCTCGGCCACATCCTGAATACAGGCTCCTGGGAAACAACATACCCCCAGGTCTAAGGGGCTGGGGCAGCAAATTGATCCCCAGTCCCCCTCAGGAGGGAGTCTCCCACGACGACCACTCTATGAGTGGCCTTAGGGAGAGCACGGACAGTAGCTGTGGGTGAGCCTCCATTGCCTGCAGGAGCTGACAGCTCTGCAGGCTCTACTGGGGCTGCAAGAGGTTTGTACCTGTTGCAAAGCTCCAGAGGAGAGGGGACCTTCACGCAGCATGCCTTGGGGCTGTTGACCACCTTGGTCCAACCCCCTGGCTGGACAGTATGGGAGATCTCCGAATCCTCCCTTGCCCTGGAAGGTGACTTTGGTCTACCCTCTGCCTCCAGGGGGTGAAGGGCCTGGCAGTAGGGCTGGGATCCCTCCCTCCCTGCTGCAGGCCCCACCTACCTCCAGCTGCACTGAGGATCCTGGTCAGGGTCCTCCTGGGGGAATCCTAGGGGTCCCTGTGTTCAACAGGGGTGCGACAGGCTTCCGCCTGTGCAGCTCACACCAAAGCCGGGGACAAACTGAGGCCTTGGTGTCACCAGGCCCTTCTTAAACTGCATGCATGTGCAGAAGGGCATGCCGACAGCGCCATGCCACTCTTGGGGCTGGGGTGTCCCTGTCCCACGGAAGAAGGGGACAGGTGAGTGCCCCCCCACTTTCCTGACTCGTTCACTGGGTGGGACCGGTTGCATGGCTCCCTGGGGGCTGGGCCAAGCAGGAGCCGGGGGGGCGTGTCTTTCCTTGGCTCCCATTCAGCTGCCCTTCAGTTGACTGGGTTGAGGTCCCTTCCTCCCTGCCGCAGGCCCCACCTACCTCTGGCTGCACTGGGGGTCCTGGTTGGGGTCCTGCTGGGAGGTTCTGGGGGTCCCTGAGCTCAACAGGAGCGTGATGGGCTTCTGCCCGTGCATCTCATGCCAGAGCCAGGGACAAACTTTTCAAACTGATTTGAAATAATATGAACAATTGTTGAAAAATTTGTATAAAAATAAAATCAGAGACAAATGTTGGTGGGGGAAAAGTACACACCGCAGGCTTTAGAGTCAATTCAACAGTCTTGCCTAGCCTTCATTCCCTTCTTCACAAGACCTTCTCCCCAAGATCTACCTGCAATAAAGATTAAAGGAGCCAAACCCTGTTGTGATCCTCTGGTTGAGAGAACAGAGTATTTTTTTCCTAATTAGACCCAGGAAATGGAAAAGGAAGAGGCAAAAAGACTTGGATCTTTTTTTAAAAAAAATTAGCATCTAGCTCTGCTGTTGAGCAGGAGAGCCAAAGGAATTATAAAAAAGTTGGACTGGAAGGGACCTTAGGAGGTCACCTGGTTCTACTACCTTTTCTGGACAGGAACATCCCCCTCCAAACCATCCCAAAATAAATGCTTGTCCAATCTGTATTTAAAGACCTTCAGTCATGGCAATTACAGCAGTTCTCAGTAAATTATGCCATCAGCTTGGTCCTAGGTATGACCGTAAACTGTATCTCACTGGAAGGCCTGGTGGCAACATGGTGGGATTACTCATGGCAGCGTAGCTCCTATAAAATACCACCATGCTGCAACCTCCAAAGTACGGCAAGTATAGCATGCTTCAAAACCCTAACCATCACTTCCTTTTGGGTACTCCTTGGTTGGAGAAAGGCTAAGGGACATCACCCTGACCAAAATGTGTCCTCACTGAGGCATTAGGCAGTCAGCAGCAGTTTTTATCTGTTGTTCTCTGGGAGAAGCTACAACCATCAAGGCACTGAACGTCTGGATTTGGTCTGCCTTTTAGATTCTGTCTCAGTGAGCTAAAGCGGGCGGGGGATGGTAGGTCTTGCATAACTTCCACTCCTCCATACTTTTGCCTATGCATACACATCAAAGGTGATTAGACCTCTTACATGTACACCATGATCCAGAGGATCGATGATTGCCTACTACGCCATTAGCTAACCAACTTCATAGTTAGAGAGTTATTCCTAATATCTAACCGAAATCTTCCTTGTTGCAACCATTATCTCTTGCCCTATTCCCTATGGACTCAGTGAAAGGTTGATTACCATCCTCTTTAACAACAACCCTCTTTGTATTTGGGAGCTGTTATCAAGCATCTCTACCCCCTTACCCCCCATTCTTTTCTTCAGACTAAATAATCCCAGATTTTTCAACCTTTCCTTGTATGTGATGTTTCCCAGATGTCTTATGAATTTTTGTTGCTCTCCTCTTTCAAAATTCTAACTTTCTTATAGAATACTTTTTTGTTGCCTTTTTGTGCCTTGGCCTTCCAGATTTTGTTCCTACATGAAAAGTTATCTATTATTCATCCTTTGCAAATGAGTAACAGACCACTTTCCATTTCTTGTATGCCTTTTTAACTTTTAAGTCATTAAAGAGTTTACTTTTAGCTAAGCTGGTCTCTCATTGTTTCCAATCCTTTCTTCTGCATAAGGATAACACACTCTTGTTCTCTTACTGCTGGCTCTTCAGGATACTGCTAACTCTCCTAAACTAGTTTGTCCTCAGATTTGCCTCCTGTGAGATCCTGCCCAGCAATTCCCCAAGTTTAGTAAAGTCTTCTTTTCTGAAGCCCAATGATTTTCTTCTGCTGCTTTCCTTTCTTCCTTTCCTTAAGACCACAAACTTGATCATTTCATCCTCACTGTGACCTAAGTTGCTTTCCACCTTCACATTCTCAACCAATTCCTCCCTATTAGTAAGTAGCAAGTCACAAAGAGCTCCTCTTGGAGGTAGTTTTGCTACCATCTGCATCAAAAAGGTGTTTACAACACAATCCAAAAATATGCTAGACTATCTGTACATTGCTGCATTACCCTCCCAACAAATATCATGAAAATTATAGCCTTCACAAGCACCAGGCCCTGTAATTTAGATATTTCAGTGAGTGTGGTTTTTTTTAAAGTCTCATTCACCTTTCACCTCCAACTACTGATTTGGTTTGGTGGTATATGGCAGACACGTACCAGGACACTGCCTTTCATCTTTCCTCCTTTTACCTTCACACAGAGATTTTCAACCAGTCAACCTCCCACTTTGTTCTGTACCACAGAATAAGCATGTGTGTGTTTCCCCCTATCTGTTCTTCCTAAACAAGTTATACCCACCCATGACAGTATTCCAGTAGACCTATCCCACCAAGTTTCAATTATTCCAATTAGACTGTAATGTTATATGTGAACTAGGTTCCCCTTCCCTTCTGCTTATTCCCCGTTTCTTGTACCAATATAAACAGCTTGGACCATGGATAGATGTTACATGTGCAACTATGTAGCCTTTCTCAATACTTTATTACCATAACTGTTTAATTTTTTACCTTAAACGGTTTTTTTCCTCCCTAATTTCTATTCCAGGGGAAGGTAAAATATGGCCTGGGGGCCACATCCAGCCCACGGAGGGATTTTGTCCAGCCTGTGGCAGATCCCTTGGTCCCGCCTGGCCCAAGCATGATGGATAGCTCAAGCCATGGCGCATGCAACTGGTCCTGCCATCCCTGGGTGCACAGCGGGGCTGTGTCAGAATAGCATCAGGTCTCCATTTCCCAGCAGCCCTGGAGGCAACTCCTTCTGGCTGCCACTGCTGGACTTAGCCCTGCTGCCCAGGCACCCTTGCCCATTCACCCTGCACCCACTGCCAGGGACGGGACCCACATGGGAAAAGTGCAAGGCCGGGAGGCTGGGATGGAGCTGGGAGCTGGTGGGGAGTGGCATCCAGAAGTGGAATGGGCAGGCAGGGTGGGGAAACCCTGGGATCTTGGAGTGATGACAGCATAGGCCCACGTAGAGCCACAATCTGCTGCCTGCATACCACTGCGATGGGCATGAGTTCTGCAGGCAGGGACGTGCAGGGAGCAGATTGGAGCTCTGCCCCAGCTCCACCCTTGCACTGTCACCACCCCACAGTCACAGCCCTGGCCCTGGATGCAGTTCCCCACCCACCCCTGCATCCTGCCCATGCAGCTCCCAGCTGGTCTCCATGGAGACTCCAGGATCATGGATCCATGACAGCACAGGGTCAGGGCAGAGCCCGATGTGATCCACCCATGTTCCTGCCCCAGCCCCATGGAGACTGCCTGGGAGTCATGCAGACAGCTGCAACCAGGACCAGGACCAGGATCAGGATTTTAGGGTGGTAGAGATCACATTTCTACAAATGGGAAATAATCTATGCCATTACTTTTTGTTTCTCAGTTTTCAAACCATCTCTCTCCACATCTCCAGACACCAATTCTCCTTCCAGATGCCTCAATTGATCCTGGAGACTTTCAACTTGTTTTTCTGCTTTCCTGGCCCCTTGCAGAGCATCCTGGTATGACCTGGTTTGAATCTCCAACTGTTCAGTCAGCTTAGCTATTTGGGCTTCAAACTGGGACATCATCTGGAAGCAAGCACATAAACAAGCCAGACTAAGTTAACTGATATGTGAAGGTCCAAGTCATAAAAATGCTCATCCCCTAAACTATTAAAAGCAGTAGAAAATAAATTCATTTTTCCCAAATAAAAGTTTTTTTAAAGTAAGGGGGGAAAAAACCTTTGGTGTAACTATAAGAAAAAATGACAGAAGAAGCTGAAAAAGCTGATTCAGTGAGTCACTGAATCAAAAATAGACAGTAACACTGAGATTATATCTAAGATATGCCCATGAACTGAAAGTAGATAGCTACTTTTTAAATATAAAAACTGCATACACATTCCAAAGATGCTGACTAGCTTGAATTAATTGGCAAACAGTTACTATATTTACTCAAATCCAAGATGAGGTCCCGTGTCACCCCTCCCCTCCCCAAAGTGGATTCAAGCACCAGCACAGGGCAGGTGGCAGCTCAGCTCCAGCTTTGGCCCTAGCCTTGGACCTAAATTCAGAGCTGAACCACTATTTGCCTCAAGCCAGGATGGCTCATTTGCGGGGGGAGGGGACTTGCAGCTGAGGGAGCATGGGGGAGACTGCAGGGTGTATAGGGAGACCCTGCAGTCTGCCCCCCCCGCGCCCCCCCTCGCAGCACTCACTCTCTGCTCCCCTGCCTCTCTTACATTCTGCTCTGGCTCCTGTCCTGATTTGGCCTAGCCAGGAACAGCCACTGTCCTTCCTGGCTGGGCTAGGCTAAGGCTGCTGCTGTTGCTGACTGCCCCAGAGGAGCAGAAGTACAGTAGAAGGTGGGATGGGGGCAGGGTACAGGGAGTAGCACCTTAAATTTGAAGCTGTCTTGGATTTGGATAAATACTATAATTCTAGTGAAAGTAGGCTCACCAGGTGCCTACAGACAGGTGGGGAGGCTGTTCTGACATGCTGTAATTGTAGTGCGTAGGAACAGACTTGACTAATCAAGTCTGCTGGAGCATGTAATTAGCACGTTCCAGCATCCTCTGCATCTCATGTATTCAGTATCTCCATGCTCCAAAATGGTGGCAAGGTGCTTTAAACCTCATTTGATGAGCTTTAGTTAAAGTGCCCCTGCCACCATTTTGAAGCGCAGGGACACTGATACACAAGACGCTGCAGGCACTTTAATCAGAGCCACTCTAATTAGAGCTCCCCTCCCCACCATCCCCAGAGCACATGTAAAAATGCCCACAAACTCTAGTCTACACCTATTCTGAAAAAATGTTTTATTAAGGGGAGTTAAAAAATTTAATAGCATCCAATATAGAATGTGTTGCAGCTGGTCTTGGTCAACACTACAATGCATATCAAAAGAAATTCTTGAAAAATGTCATGGTGTCCACATCGGGTGCTAATTGTTTTTGAACAAATCACTTCATTAAATCGGTTTGCTAAATACATTTTCTCTAGTATAGCTAAAGCCAAAACCAGAAGAGACAAAATTGTATGATATGATACTACACTAACAATGTGAAAGCTATACTTACAAGATTTATTTCAATCAATTAACGTAATTCAAAATTAATCACTCATAACCTGGTGCTCAAGAGCAGCAAATTGCTAATTACAGCACTGCCAAATATTCAATTATTTGGCCATAGTCAAGAAATTGATTGCTTTTCCCCCTACTTTTACAGCCATATAGGTATTCGGTCAAATATTTTTTTTATCTATTCAGTTGCAATTTCACACCCATTTAAATATAAATATATATTTATCCAAATACTTCCTTTATCTCTCCCATCTGCTGGCCTCGTGTTCACAAATTGGGCTGCCCAGGCACAGAAAGCTACGATTAATTCCAATGACAGTTATCACTGCATCAAAGTTCACCTTAACATCAGCTTTCAACTTCAACAGTATAATTTACACAGGTTGAAAAGGCTTTATGGAAATATAATTGATTGCAAACAGAGAAAAAGCAGCAAACAAAATAGAACTGAGAGAAAACCGCTATCCACCCATGTTATTCAGCATCATATCTCATTAAGGAATAGATCTAGTCCTTTATGTCTGGCCCAGGAAAGATGTGCTGGTGGCAGAGAACCCTCCACCAGCTGACCCCTTTGTGGCTCACTATGCATAATCAGACCAGTCCAGCCTCACCCCATTTCCCCTTCCCCTCTGCATACAAATGGACAGCTCCTTAGGCACAAAGGAAGGTTTTGTATTATATAAACACACAACCACAGAAACATCTTTCCTGAAACAGTAAAACTACACTGAGTTTGCAGAACACAGGTCAGCCGTGGCAGTGATGGAAAAAGTGTGAATTCACCCTTGGGTAGTGAAATCTGTATCTAATAATGCTAACTTTGAAATCTTTGGGAACTGGGTTATTTACTTCAATGGGGAACAACTAAGGCTTGAATCAAAACCTATTAGTGTCAACAATAATTTCCAGACTTTAATGAGCTTTGCATCAGGTACAAGAGCATATCTACACTGCCATAATAAAAGTGGCTGCACTGTAACTTAGAGATATAGGTGAAAAATTGAAATTAGCTAGCTTGGGTATCATTATCAATCTAACAACAGCTGCAGAGATCAGCTTTGGATAATTTATGCTGAAAAGCTTACTGACTCACAGTTGAAGGTCATTTTCTTCAGGTTTAGTACAAACTTTTGGGGAAGGGTAGGTCTGTGATATCACTGAAGACTCAGTCATTCCACTGGACACCACTTTATACATTGTACATTGTACAAAAGGGATTAGTCCACACTGAGCTATAGTGGGATTCCACTTAAGCTAAAAAGATCAGCACAGATGTAGAATTTGCAAGAACAGGACCTTATTAAGTATTTTGCTTTATGATTTGAGTAGAGAAAAGCAGTTCACTACGTAAAAGACAAAAGGAGCCATACATGAGTGCTCCAGGTTAAAAACCATTTTTGATGGAGGAAGCTTTACCACAGAAATAGCTCCAAAAATGCACAACAGCTTTTGTACCTTGGGAAATGATGCAGTTAGACCATGCTCAAATCCATTCTGACATAGTTACTGCAAGGTCTAATCTTAATGAAGAACCTCTCCTGGGAGCCAAAGTCATCAAGCGCAGGTTTCTCTTTGGGACAGGGCATACAGATTATTTCCTTTTTCTCCAAACCTAAGGCTCACAGGGACATGGGGCTGAAACACTAGGCTTTCTTCACAAACATATGATACTTTTTTAATTCTTTGGTATTTACTGAAGTTTGTCTGTAAAGCCAAGGGAGCTAATCATTCCTCCCCAACGTTTTTTAAAATTTGATTCAAATGATTAAACTAACCACCTAATGGCCACAGAAGGTAAAGTGAGGAGAAAGCAAGGTTTTCCTCTCTCTTCACATTTTATTATGTTAAAGTTGTAACATAAATACTGTGGAGGCAAAGAGTGTATCTCCACAATTTAACATTTGGATGGATTTTAAGTTTATCCTTTATGCTACATTTCCTGGGTTTATAACTCTTGACTTGATAAAAATTACATCATCCCTGAAAATATTCTTTGCTTAAAAATGAACATAAGAACATATGTAGCATGATTCTGGTTCATACCAAAGGTCCATCAGTCTAGTATCCTCTGACTGTGGTACGTACCAGATGCTTTAGAGCAGTGATTCTCAACCTTTTTAGACTCAAGGTACCCCTCAGAAAATGTCAGGTCTTAGTTTTCACTCCTTGTTTGACTACGGAAAAATAATAAAGCAATTGTTCTGCTGTAAAAGCGGTGGAAGACACCAGAAGGACCTAATAGACACCAACAGACCCAAATGTTTTTAACATTACATATTCCTAGTTGAAATTTACCTATTTCCCTTGTGAATCATGTTTGCATATCTAACAATGATAACATGGTGGGGCATCCCATAACACCTCTGAAAGGCTCTCAAGGCTCCCCAGGGTGCTGTAGGACCCTGGTTGAGAATCACTGCTTTAAAGGGAGAATACTTATCTACTTAAGTATTTACTCAGATCAAAGATAAGGTTGTTTTCCCCCATTCAACATGGAGAAGAAAGCTCCTTGTCTTGGATTCAAGTACAAAATTGTACTCTGGTATTTTAGGGCCAGAGTCAGAGCTGCAGCAGCCTCTGTTCCTTCTCCCACTCTCCTGCTTATCATCAGGGCAGCTCCAGCTCATTCCTTTCAGGCACAGAGCACATGGAAACTCCATTGCCTGCCCAGCCATGGTTGCTGTATGGCTGGGCAGGGGTGCAGCTTGCATGTGCTCTGTGCCTGGAAGGGAATGAGTCTGAGCTATGCCAGACAGTAAATGAAAGGGGAGGGACACAGACTGCAGGAAAGAGAGGGGCTTCAGGGAGCAGGGGTGCAGGTACCACGAGGGACAAGTGGGAGCACTACCTGCCCCACTGCTGCTCTTCTTGCTTTCCCCACGGCAGTGGTGGGGGAACATGTTTAAGACAACCCTTCAATAATTAGATTGTATACATGGGAAATTATAATACATTTATAAATATTCCATATATAGAATCTAATTATTGGTGGTGGGGTGCTGTGCATGCTGACTGGGGCTGGGGCCAGAGACCAGTCCCTCCCATGGGCAGGGTGGCAGTGCGTGGGGTTTGGCCCGATGCGGAGTGCAGGAGGAGTAGCTGAAGGCCAGGCTGGATACAATTAATTGGTGGGCACCTGCCTGCAGGCTGTACGAAATCACCCAGTGGGCTGGATGCAGATCACAACCTCTGCTCTACAACCTCATGTGTCAATGAGTTCCATAAGTTAACTATGCATGGTGTAAAAAAAAAAAAAAAAAGAATACTTTCTCTTTTTTGTTTTAAACCTGTCTCCTGTTAATTTCAATAGTTCCACCTATTTACTGTATTCTGGATCTTGGGACTTGACACCTTATTCTGCCCTCCATGATTTTATAAACCTATATCACATCCCCCCACCCAGGGCCATCCTTTGTGGGGGAGGGAGTGAATTGGGGCGATGGCCCTAGACCATGCACTTTGGGAGGCCCTGAGGAGTCGGGCAGGAACCAGGAGGAGCAGC